GAAAGAAACGCTGCCCATTTATTTACGCCTCCACCGGGGATTGAACCCGGGCCCTTAGGACAACGAATCCCGAGCGCTGTCTGTGTTAGAGAGAGACATACCACTTATGTCGAGTATTTTATAGCAAATCTTACATTCCTTCGTTCTGAACACATATCAGTGACCTCAAGGCACATTTACTACCGGAAAACCGGCACATGTCCGGAAGTAGGGAGTTGAGGGCACAATACCCACAGGGTACAAGGTAGGGTATCAGGTGACAAGACAACAAATGCTGATGGGAGCAATCCAGGTGTCTTCCATGTTGGCCAGAATGGGAAATATCCGAAACACACATATAATAGGAACGGCACTTCGTCCACAGTCTACCTGCATCTCACTTGCTGGTGCTGTGAAACACTCCCTGTGTAATCATTCCCTGTTAATTCTAGATAAATCGCTTTGTAGAAAGTTGAATCAATGTAAGTTAATAGTCCACTCTTGATATTGAGATTACGGCACTGTCTTAGTATAGAGGTTCCTGCTCTGTACGTGGTGTTGTCCGTACTCTGTACTTGGTTTCAGAATTTGACGTAGGAGCCCGTGTATTGTATTTGGCACATGTTCTGAAATACGCGACTATGCAATATATATACATATATATACATATGTACGCAGCAAGAACTAGTTATATAACCAGTCAGAAAGCCTGATACGTTGTAATCACCAAATTGCCGAGAAGAATATTAAACTATATGCAACTTACTTGGTATTCAAAGTCCATGTTACTGAGAGAAATCACTCTCCCTCCCTAGTGCTACATCCACTTTCCAATTCCCACTTGCCTACTGATGAATTACAAACGAAACGAAAAAATTCAGTTATGAGTGTTAGTTAATCAATAGGACGGGACTTAGTACATCTCTTCATCATTGAAAGATGTGCACGTTCCACTTGCATTCCTCCTAGCCACCAGCGTTCATGCTTGAAATGAATCAAACTTTGGCTTCAAATTTTTAAGAAGGCTAAGATCGTAACTGAACACATGAAGAAAATCCGAGAATTCAACTAAAAGCTTTAGACTTACATCCTTGCTTGCAGTTGCTCAAACGTTATCTAGAAAACAATTTTTTTGTCTTGAGGAAAAACCTTCATGTGAGCAATTTGGAAATTTTAAGATATTGAGATCCTCTAGATAATTAAAATAAAAAGCATAATTGATACAGTATGCTACTGAAGATGATTATAATATGGTACAAGATTTCGTGGAGAGATTGTTAAATTAAGTACGTAAAAGCAGATGATCTAGTCAAATTGATTAGTTTTGATAACCAAACCACACACCAGAAGATTAGGAGACGACGACGTTTCGGTCCATCCTGGACCGAATCCTAGACCGAAAGCGAGACTAATTTGTACATCAATTTTAATTTATTTATTATTGTTTAATGTAAATGGAATTAAAATTTAATATTACTAAAAAAAATGGAGAATACCAAAACATGAATCAATGAAATAACCTCCCAAACAAAACATCCTTGGGTGATTCTGTATATCGGATTACCTTATCAGTCTTAATCTTGGGAACAGTTATGGCCTGGAATTAAACTGGAACATAGAATTTCCAATTTCGACAACTTCAAAACTCCCTTTTTCCCAGTGAAAAAATAATTGGCCATCATCTCCAATGTTACAGAAGGAAAGAACAGCTCAATATATTACAGTAAAAATATAAAGGTGCTGTAGCCAAAGGATAAACATAAAATCAGTTAAATCAAAAGAATATGCCAGCATATTAATACAGTTTGCAGCTCTCAAGGATTATTCAGCCCACTAACCACACGCAGGATGGGTATGGAGCCCACTAACCACACGCAGGATGGGTATGGAGCCCACTAACCACACGCAGGATGGGTATGGAGCCCACTAACCACACGCAGGATGGGTATGGAGCCCACTAACCACACACATGATGGGTATGGAGCCCACTAACCACACGCAGGAGGGGTATGGGGCCCACTAACCACACTCTGGATGGATATGGAGATCCATATCCATCTTGTGGTGGATCTAGCTCTAACTCTATACCCACAGGATGAGTATAGAGCTTAACTACTCACAGGATGGGTACAGAGCCACTTACCACTCACAGGATGGGTACAGAGCCTGGATGGATGAAGTATGAAGCTCACTAACCCCTCACCGGATGAGGATGGACTGCTTAATAAGTTAAATGAATTAAAAACTGGCGTTGAGCTTAAGGCCTAACAAGCACAGGAGGGTTAAAACCTGGAACAGGTATTATTTCATTAGCATGTTGTATATATTATTACATTTCAGTGTTTGGTGTTATTAAATCATTAATACAGAGATATATCAAGTACTTAGACTTTTATATATAAAGTCCTTAGACTTTAAACGTCTTTCACTAGTTTGATGTTCGGCTTAAGACCTAAGACCTATCAACTTCTGGAAGGTTATTAAGGAAACCCACGAGTATTATCTACTTGAGGTTATCTTAAGATGATTTCGGGGCTTAGTGTCCTGACTGAATAACCATCAAGTACTGTATACTTTGGGTGTTGACATCCGAAGTGTATATACCTCAGAGTGTTAACTCTCAGTGTATATACACCGAGAAGTGGAGTACACTTTTCGGAGTCTATCCCTGACGATTTTTCACTGGAAATATTAGTAATAATATACATAATAACAGAAGCAGCTATGAGGTTAACAATGTCAAAGAAAAATAGTATTTCAGTCATAACGATTCAACTCTCAGGCCTAATCTTTAAAGATGGTTCTCTGATGCTTATATCTTAGAGATCGTTCTTAGACATAAGCTTTGAAGGTGGTTGTGTTATGTCTTAATCTTTTAGATGATTCACATACAGGTTCTTCTCCTCTTGTATAAATCACAAAGGTGGTTTTCCTAGGCTAAAATCTTTGAGGTGGTCCTTTTAGGTCTAAATCTTAAAGGCTTACATATACAAGAAGGAAATGGATAAGATTAATAATTAGAATCAAATAGAACCAAGGTCAACATAGATTTTGATTGGGAAAATCCTGTCTTCACCACTTACTCAACAACTATGACATAGTCACGGAAACATTAGAGGAATAACAATTTGTTGATGCTGTCCAAACGGACTTTACTAAGGCATGTGATTATTGTGATCATGGAGTGATAGCCCATAAAATGAAATAACTTGAAATAACAGGTAAAGTAAGGCAATAGTTATCCAGTTTCCTGTCAAACTGTATGAACAGACTAACAATCCATCAAACAAAATCAAACCCAAGTACAATGAAAAGGTCTGTACGACAGAGCACAGTCCTCGCACCACTGCTTTCTTATTCTCAAAACAGATTAAATAAAAATACAAGCCACAGCTAGATGTCACCTTTTGCAGACGATCCAAAAATCAGCATAAAATGTACTTCTGTAGACGACATTGAAAAACAACAAACCGATATCAATAGATTCTTCGACTGGCCAACTGAAAATAACGTGATGTTTAACTGTGATAAATTCAATAATATACTTAGATCCCCACATAGAAAAAACATAGAATAATAATAATAATAATAATAATAATAATAATAATAATATTAATAATGGCAGATGACTTAACATTTAGTGAGCATAACAAAGTACAGAATAATCCAGAAAATTTTTAAGATGGGAAATTATTTCGACCTTCTTAAAGCTCCCCAAACTTTCTCTCTATAAAGAATAGACCGGTATCATATAATATATACGTGGAAGTTACTGGAAGGCCCGGTCCGAAATTTGCACAGTAGGATAACAACAAACTGAAGTTAACGGCATGGTAGGAAATGCAGAATAAAGCCAGTGAAGAGAAGGGGCGCCATAGGCACACTCACAGAACACTTTATTAATATCAGAGCTATTCAGTATCCTCTCAGCAAACGTTACAAATAGTACCAAAACAAAAGTAGGAAAATACCGGACCAACCAGGCTGTAGTGGATATGTGGATCTGCTGGCTGTTCTAAGCAACAATTTTTGGACCAAATTATCACGTGAGAGAGAAGACGAAGTCCCAGAACCCCCTTTAGATATATTCCAGGTAGGGAAATATTTGGCCTTGAGCTATAATTTGATATACATCCTAATACTATATAGATTTAAATTGTATATATATTTTTGTAAGGTATTTGTCATTGTTTGGTGTTGGGGGGTAAAGTGCTAACAACTTCTGGTTGGTTATTAAGGTCATATATCCAACAAATATATGTAAAGTCCGTCCAGAACAAAATAATATTTTCAGTTTATATGTACACTAAAAAGTATATATACACACACCAATGTATATATATACAATGAGATGCACATCTCATTGTATATATACATAGATGTATAGGTGTATAGGTCCCAGTGTTGAATTCGTTCACTTATTAATACTATATAATTTGCTACTCGTGCTTACGAAAAATAAAGACGGGAACACACAACAACCGCGCGCATTCATACACATTTACACATATACTGAATATATAAACAATAAACATACGTATACATACATATATGAGCACAAACATCAGCTTCTATCGGGCTTCCGCTCACTTAGTAATCCCATACCAAACAAATGTCAGCTGTGATCGTCACCCCCATCAATACCGTTGTATCTCGCCTACATTCTTCCCGGGGAGAGAGAGAGAGAGAGAGAGAGAGAGAGAGAGAGAGAGAGAGAGAGAGAGAGAGAGAGAGAGAGAGAGAGAGCGGGAGGAAGGAAGGAGAGATAGGTGAGCTAGAGAGAAAGAGAAGATGTAGATAAATAAGACCGAAAAAGAGAGAGAGAGTAAGAGAAGATAAGAAAGAGAGCTATGGTCTTGGCCTTATGAAACAGACCAGCTAGACTATGCGCGCACTTCCCCTGCCTCTCTCCGTATTGACACCTACTAGGTAGCTTGCTATATTGACCTATTGTATACTATTTTAATCCTTTGAATCTCGTTTTCCCCCCTTTTTCTACCCATGTTGTTGATGATACGTACCTGTAACGAGAAAGCAGAGTAGTTCCATACATATCAACACAAGGATCCACACATCTGCCGCAGCAAGGGAAATTTCCTTAGTTACCGCCATCGACGGAGCCAAGGGAAGCCGCCATTTTGAAAATCATCACTCATTCGATCGCTATCACATTACCCTTTTCATACAGTTTTGTCACATTTTACTATATTATGAACCATTATTCTATCAATTGCAAGTGGCATGAGGCACTGGCTTGGTGAAGAGAGAGAGAGAGAGATGCTTTCAAGAGAGGATTAGAAAGGAAAATCGGACATGTCTCTACGAAACCCAGGGACCGTTATGCGTGGCGGGGAGTGGATGGTCCGTTTTAGGGGAGGGGAGGGTAGGGAAGGAGAGGAGGGTTAGGGTAAAGGAAGAGGCCAGGCTGGGGGAATGTTGGAACCCCTCCCTTCCACCCTCATCCCTCCCACCACGCATTGATCGCCCTGCACACTATACACAACTCTCTTCCTCTTCCACCAAGACTCCACTCCCTCCTCTCCACTAGCCACTTCTCCGCTGAACACTCCACGCGCGCTCCACAGCCACCACTCTCACCTCCACCGCTCCTTGCAACACACTGCACCCTTCCACTGTGAAAATCGGCACTGGAGTGAGCCGTGGGCAGGCGAGCCAGCTCCTCTGTAGCGTCTGGTAATGGGTACTCGTAAATTTGAACCAAATGTGGGACGTGAATCGTGGCCATAAATTTTATTACTCTGCCCCCTACGGCCCAGGCGGCGTCTACCACCACCTCGGACTTCACTCCAACGTTGGTTAGGACTGCGGTGACGTCACCACACAATACCACATGACTCACGGTGGGGGAAGCGTTCGTCTGCAGGCCGGCCAGTTCCCGTTGCAACCCGGCCTGCCGACGCAACGGCGATGCGTCTGGTGGGTGGTGGTAACGGGGTCAGGAGCGCCGTCACAAGAGAGGCATAACCCCCACTCCCTCCCCACCCCAACGACTCCGCCAGCTGAACTCATGAATGAAAGGAAACGTCGACACTCCCTGTTGGCTGTTTTGGCCGTGAATTTGATATTGTTTGAGGCGTTTTCCAGGGAGCGAGCGATTGATTTGTGAGTGCGGCCAGGCTCGTAATGAGAGGTTCTTAGCGCTGGCGGTGAGAATAGAACGAAAAGGGTGGTTTGGAAGGTTTTTGTATCGGTGAGGCGTCGTCCGGCTGAAAGTGAGCTTACTATGTTTCTAATGTATTGTTCAGGGTTTATGGTGCTTTTATGGGCGTTGGCTAACAGGTTAGGAGGACAGGATGCACATACTGTTTTATAACTGTACAGAGAGTCGTATCTAAAAGTGTTACTTCTGCTCTACACACTAGGCCAGAGTGTAGTTTATATATATATATATATATATATATATATATATATATATATATATATATATATATATATATATATATATATATATATATATTATCATCAGCATCATCACACCTGATCCTTGAGCAACAGGTGTCGGTGTATGAGAGCGTCTCCAGCAAGATGTACATCAATAAGAGGGCCGCGAGACAGAGGGGAGACGGTACTTAACTGTCGTAGCACGCTAGCGTTCCTCGCTCAAGCTTCCACACACTCACACACATACACACACCTACACCACACGAAACCTTCCACACCACATCCACTCAAACTACACGCGCCCGAACATATTATAAACACCAACCATACCAAACACCTCCCATTAACACTACTTGCACACACCAACCCACACCATGGGCGCTCACTCATGCCACACGCACCGACTTACGCCACACTCACGCACCTAGACCACACACACACACAGAACAACCAACACCACCACACTCACAGACACACTGTATCAGTTGATACAGAGAATCTGTACATCAGTTGCTTGACAGTTGACAGGCGAGACCAAAGAGCCAGAGCTCAACCCCTACAAGCACAACTAGGTGAGTACAAGGTAAATATTTACTGTTACGTGAACAGAGACATGAAAAGAAACGTGCCCAACCATTTCTGTCCCGTCCGGAAATCGAACCCGGGAATCAAGATTGAGAATCGAGAACGAATCAAACTGTACTACGTTTGTTTCGTAGTACAGTTTGTAACTGTAGATATCAATAACTTGATATCATTATATTATATAAGGCACAGAACACTATTAGGTAAAGGCACTCAAGCGCGAGCAAGTATTAAAGAGGACGTCCCCATCAAAGGGTCCATTTACGGCCCGTAAAATGTGACAAGAACCCAGAGAATGACGAATATTCATTGAAGGTGGCACATATTGACGCTATGGCACTCCGCGGCACCACACCCCCTCGCGTCTCTCCCAGACATTAATGGGGAATTTGTTTCTGGTTTTATGGCCTTTAATAAATGATGAAATTGTCTCTTCCATCTTGTGGAATGTGAATCTGAATGAATTTTGTATCTGTATTTCTCATATTACTCCCGACCTAACATGCTATTATAGCTTCTTTGGAAATTATGAATGGAATTGGAGCCAGATTCACGAAGCAGTTACGCAAGTACTTACGAACCTGTACATCTTTTGTCAATCTTTGGCGGCTTTGTTTACAATTATTAAACAGTTAATGAGCTCCGAAGCAGAAGGAGGCTGTTTATAACAATAACAACAGTTGATTGGCTAGCTTTCATGCTTGTAAACTGTTTAATATATGTAACCAAAGCCGTCAAAGATTGAGGAAAGATGTACAGGTTCGTAAGTACTTGCGTAACTGCTTTGTGAATCTGGCCTTTGGTCTCTACAACCTACTCCATTGCTTTCATTACGTACCGTCTGACTTGTCTCGTCACCTGGTCCCATTCTCGTCACTTTACACTTGCTGGTGTTGAAATCCAGTAGCCATATTCACTTGTTTCGTGTGTATTCACTCGTTCGTATTCACCTATTTGCACCTGGAGGATTGAGTTTTAGCTCATTGACCACGCTTTTCTACCCACCTATAGACTAACGTAATACTTCAGACCTAAGAAAAATGTGCAAGTCGGACTTATTTTCTCTACCTTGAGGTTACCTTGAGGTTACCTTGAGGTGTTTTCGGGGCTTAGCGTCCCCGCGGCCCGGTCGTCGACCAGATCTCCGACAAGGTGAAGAGGGGCAGTGAATGGACGTAGTCCAAACGCTAAATGAGCTTCTCATTTTTGAGTGTGTTAATATCTAATAAGTCAACCATTATTGGCTAGGGTTTGAATTTCTTTCATTTGTTCAACTAGCAAAAAAAAGACCTTTAAGACACCTAAATAAAGAGGTCCTTCACTTCACTAAATACCACCTACGTGAGACTGCACCTAGATAATGCAGCCCAAACGTGTACACAGCAGAACAATTGCATACACAAAGTGAAATAGGTAAAGAGGATTACAACGAGGCTCGTCTTAGCATTGCGAGTGATGAAGAAACACTGAAAGAACTAGAAATGAGGATAAAGAGAGGAGACATTGCAGAGACATAAAATAATTAGGGGGATTAACAAGTGAAAGTCTAAATATTCACATTATATACAAATATAGCAAGTGGGCATAGATGGAGTCATGATTAACAGAATACAATACATATATTAGGAATTTGTTTAACGTAATAGTAGGAAAACGGAGTGAACTAATCTAGCTGGTTATAGAAGCTAACTCCATCCAAATTATCAAGAGTATGCATGACTGAAAAGTAATAGCTCAAGAGTCATTATTAAGACAACACAGCGACCAGAACACCCGGGTTCCAAGAGTGCAAGTACAAAGACGTGAGTACAAATATTTGAGTCTAGTAAACACAAAACAGGTGGCAGGTTACGTATCACTTGAACCATTTAACATCAAATTAACACACAGCCGTTTTCGAGGCGTCAGACTGACACAAGAGTCGTCACCATAAACATCTCGGGAAGGCAGAGTAGACCACACACTTTTTTGCACCATAAAACTCCGGTCATTCCAACAGTCACCTGCTGGCCAACCATATTTGTCTATCGGGACATTTCCGCGGTGACTCGTATAATGGTACAAATCATTAACATTTTAATTTATTCGGTAGTGATTTACTATAAACTTATATTATTGGTTTTCTTTTTTGTGATATTGACACAGTTAAAAGATATTTTAATATAAATAAATTTCATTAGAAATTTATATCAACTGAAATATATTATAAAATTAAATGAACCGTTTTGAGTGAGGGAAATGTTTATGTATTAAATTATATAAACATGTGTAACTATAATTGAGAATAAAGGAGTCTCAGCATAAAATTTTGAGCGGAAGAAATTACTTTTGAGAGAATTCTCCACAGAAAATGAGAGGTCGTATTTTAGCTAAGCGTTCCGAAGGTACTCAATAACTCGGCTGGACGTTCTAAATGTGCGAATAGAGATCAATACCACCGCTTCGTGTTCTAGGTATGTGAATAGAGATCAGTACCTTAGCTCGGTGTTCCAAATATGCTAATGAGTGTTCGAAATATGTGAACTATGTGCAGCTGGTCTAGGTAGGTGTTAGTAATGAGGGGAATATGCTCCGGCAACTTCGGGTATTATATGCAAACTGCTGACACCTGTAAGCTACCCAAAAGGCGAGTGCGACAATTTATAGCGTGTAGTTCGCTAATTAAGAGGCCATTAGATGGCAAAAGGATAATTTACAACCTCACATTATACTTTTATTGCTGTCCCACACCCACCATGGTGGCTTCTTCCGCTCTACCTGCCTTGTAAATAACGTAATAGTTTTATTGTGTCCTCTGAGAAATATATATATATATATATATATATATATATACATATTTATATATATATATATATATATATATATATATATATATATATATATATATATATATATATATATATATATATATTTAGTACCAATATCCGAAACCGTGATAATATCCCCTTAACGTTTGAATATTTTGCACCCTGTACACCAGTTGTCTGACGGTTGAGAGGCGGGACCAAAGAGCCGAAGCTCAACCCCCGCAAGCACAACCTGGCTTGTACTGTTCCAATTCCCACTCTCATATATCCGACCAGCCCTTCTCTCCTTCATGTAGTAGTACATTCAACTTTCTCCTCTCCGTGACAGGGGCAGCCCTCTCCGTGACAGGGGCAGTCCTCTCAGTGCCAGGGGCAGCCCTCTCAGTGTCAGGGGCAGCCCTCTCAGTGCCAGGGACAGCCCTCTCAGTGTCAGGGGCAGCCCTCTCAGTGTCAGGGGCAGCCCTCTCAGTGTCAGGGACAGCCCTCTCAGTGCCAGGGGCAGCCCTCTCAGTGACAGGGGCAGCCCTCTCAGTGTCAGGGGCAGCCCTCTCAGTGTCAGGGGCAGCCCTCTCAGTGACAGGGGCAGCCCTCTCAGTGCCAGGGGCAGCCCTCTCAGTGACAGGGGCAGCCCTCTCAGTGACAGGGGCAGCCCTCTCAGTGTCAGGGGGCCAGCATGTGGTGGGGGAGGCTATTAAAAAGCTATGAAAACCTCTCCTACACCAGGTGGCATCTGACGCCCCAACGCGGGAGGTAATAGTTTTATTGTCCCGGTAATCTCTACCGCCCCCCCCCCCATCCACCCCATCCCCTGCCTCCTCCACCCCATCCACTGCCTCTGCACCCTATCCTCTGCCTCTCCACCCCATCCTCTACCTCTCAATCCCATCCCCCTGCTTCCTCTACCCCATTCCCTGCCTCCTCCACACCATCCCCACCCTCCTCCACCTAAGTGTCCACAGATCTGGGCAATAGTCTAGTAAGAGGTAGCACGGAAACTCGC